GCGTCCCACCGTTGCCCTACCGCCGCTTGGATCGACGTGGCCGCCGACACAAACAGTGGGCTGAGCTGATCTTGGACCCGTGGCTCGCGGGCACGCGGCTGGCGGGCCTGTACGCGTTCCCGCTGCAGTGGCTCGGCCAGGCCAGGACGCGCGCACGACGCCCGAGTCGGGACAGGAACCAGCACGCGTGCGTACGCTGAGCACGCGTGTACGTCAGCGTGTGAGGCGTACGCGCGCACCTGGAGCGAATGCATGCCGTGCAAGCTGGCACGGCAAACGCGAGCGCATGAGCACAAACACACTAAGCACACGGCGCGCAGCATCTTCAGGGTCCTGTTGCCCTCGCCCGCACCATTTTCCTCACAAGCTGTCCGGCCTCGCTGGCCGTGCTTGAGAGGAAAGCTGTTCCGTCATTTCGCAAGCTCTCCCAGCTGTGCTGACATGGCTTGCTTGGCCGCTCCGAAGCACGAGCGTCGCGCGGGATGCCCTGACCGTTCTGCCAGGCGGGCTGGCCGGGTTGGCCCAGCTGGTCCCAGTTTGGCCAGGCTGGATTGGCCAGGCTGGCTCGCACTTGCGCTGGGCTGGCTGGCCAGCTGAGCTCCAGCCCAAGTCTTTGAGCCCCTGCTGGATTCCAGCGCCGGCCGCGACCCCAGCCCCAGCCCCACCGCCAGCCCCAGCTTGACCAGCCGATTACTAGCTTGACCCTGGCTCAAGCCGCAGCCCTGGACCCAGCCTAGGGCTCAGCCTGTGCCTCACTCCCAGCTCAAGTCCAGGCCTCGGTTGCACTTGCATCCCTGCCCCAGGGTCCGTTCCAGCCCAGGCCCCAGCCTCAACCCTCAACAGCCTCAGCTTCAGTACTGGGTGGTCCGCGGCCCGAGCTTCAGCAACGGCCCCATCACTTTCAGGAGAGGAAAAAACACACAGACACAATTAATCGTCGATTCCCAGGAAAATATGGGAAAATATGGGAAGTGGGCGGGAAGACAAAAACCCAGAAAATATGAGAAATATGGGGCATCTTTTTATTTGTGTGTATTTATTTGTGTGTCCTGGGGCCCCTTGACTCAACCCTCAACAGCCTCAGCTTCAGTACTGGGTGGTCCGCGGCCCGAGCTTCGGCAACGGCCCCATCACTTCCCCACTTCCTCCAGGAAGCCGCGTGCCCACGATACGGCCAGTCAGGGCGAGGGCTGGATACGTGTGGCCGCACGTCTCTCCATCGCTCGGCTCTCCTGTGGCTTGACTTGCTGGCCTTCCGCACGTTTGAGCCGCGCGTGGCCGCCGCGTGTGAACCCGCCCTTGTGCGTTCTTAGCTTGCCTGCGGCCCTATCCCTCGCTGTGGCCGCGTCCCCAGCCCCGCGCATCCACGCCGATTTCGTCTAAGTCTCAGCAACAGCCGCTGCCTCGGCCTCAGCCACACCCGACCTCTGGCCAGTGAGAATTTGAGGTCGAGATGTTCGTGACAAGGCCCCACAGACATTTTGACCCCATCCTGGGGACCAGGTGTTCATCCCGGGTAGCTTTCTGATGGCCCCCGCCAACCGAGCCCGACTGGCCGTCCCTTGAAGCTGCATTGTGGGACCTTCTGGGGCGCTATCAAAGGTTATTTTTAAGTCGGGCACGTCCTTCTACACGAGGAATATTCAAAACAGTAAAACATACTCCAGGGACGTTTTCTGCTTCTTCTTATTGTTTTGAATTTTTGTTTCTGGTATTGCTTGAATGTTTTAGAATGCATTTTCGTCCGAAATCCGCCTGTGGGGGAGATGCCCGACCTACGGTTATTTGTGCTGTCTGTGAATTACCAGGCGTGTTCCGCTGCTCGCAAAAGTGCCTACTCGCAAACGTCCGACAGAACTATGTCGTCCTCTGTATAGGTGAATCGTAGGTCCCGCGCGGCGGATCCAGGCCGCTTGCGAGTAGCTAGTTGGCGAGTCGTGGAGCGCGCTTGTCCAGTGAACCTTCATGGGTCTTGCTTGGTCGGGGCGCCACCCACTGGGGGAGGAGGAGGGGGAGGAGGGGGAGGAGGAGAAGGAGGAGGAGGAAGAGGAGGAGGAGGATCATGCTGGATCATGCTGCGATGCCACACACGTGGCCAGTTCAATCGCTGTCACCGCTATCATCACCACCGCTGCCCAACCCCTGCACACGAGCACCAGCGAGCACTGTCTGCCCCTGACCCTGGGCTCTGAGCTGGGCAGCGACTTCCTCACGCTCATTCTCCTCATGCAAGCGAGCGGCAGCGGCAGCAAAGGCAGCAGCCGCGTCCTCGCCCACGGGTGGGGCGTCCTCGCAGACCGTCATCACGTCGGCCAGCTCTCCGACAGGGCGATCGGACGAGCGGGCCACATACTCATCAAAAATGGGCCTCTCCTCCATTGGCCTCACGGCACCACCCACGCCCCCAGTTCCATCCCGAGGGGGTGGCGGGAGGGCTCGCGCAGCAGCATCCAGCGCCGCCGCCTCACGCAAGGCCACGGGTGGGCCCCGATAAGACGGA